CACACTAAAACTACTTTTTAAGTAGTAGCACATCATTGTGTGTGGGGTGGCATAGAAAACTCCCATTCATGCTAAGTGTACACACAATAGATCTGGTGATGTCCTGCAAGAATACAGGTGGGAGAGTAGCCCAAACCCAGCTCTGAAGATAGGTGAGTTGTTCCCACAAAAGGTGCAGTGGGGCTGTGTGTGGAACATACCTTCCTTCTTTTCATCCTTCTTAGCTGCTGCTGAAATAATGACAGGAAATAGTGTTAAACATAGCAAAACATCATTTCTTAGAGTACTTCTCAGAATCTAAGAATATATTCTATATATTCATAAATTTAGTGGTCACCTATGTACTAATTAGTCCATGTAAATTTATAGTAAGACTATCATCTGAAATACTACTTCATATAGATTTTTTAAAAATTCAGAAGTAAGCATATGGCAAAAACATAATAAATGATATACTGAGCTATATTGATAAGTCAAATTCATAAGTACATGTTTGTTGTAAGTTAAATTTAGATTTCAAATAGTTATGTTAAAGAAAACCACAATTACTCCTAGAAGGTCATAAAATATAATACTATAAACTGATACATCAAAAAATGGAGGGGATGTTGTACAAATCATCTACAACTAGATTCTGAAGAATTATATATCAGTGTCATTCTACACTTGCATTACTATGACAGTATCTTAAATATCCTGCTTCAGAGAGGAGGAATAAATCTCCCACCCTCCTCTTTAGGAAAGAAGTGCCATCCTTTGTGCAGAAAAACAGGGCATAGGATATGTCAAGCAGCTTTGAATTCTGACTTGCGCTGTGACGGCTCATGACATCCAGAAACTGGCTTGCATCTCACAGGTATTGCCAGAAACCTTTAATGAAGGTTCAGTAGGCTTAGGAAGGTTCCTAGCAGGATGGATCTTGGTTCTCTTCAAAAGTAATTCAGGAGCCAAATACCTCAGTTTAGACATGTCTCCAGGCACATTACTAAACTTGAGTTTGTGCACACAGTGACCCAACCAGACTCAGGTTGTTGAAGACCATGTAAAATCAGCACCCAAAACTACCCTGGACCTTCACTCTGCAGTCCTAACACTGCCAGTGCATTTCCAAGTAAATCTTCTAACCTTCACAACAGCCCAGAGAAAGGTAGCACCAGTGAGATCAAAGTTACTTGGAAATGTTCGCCCAGACAGGAAGTAGAATAACTGAGTGCAAAAGCCAGGAACAAAAGCCAGAAAAGAAATAGAGTGTGCTTTAATTCAGTATAGTTTGTTTTTCTATATTTTCTTGATGTTACTGATATACTGTTACTTTTGTAGTTTAAAAAGTAACCTTACAAATATAGCATTTCTACTTTGGGACATTTCATTCTTTTTAATGAGTTTTAACTGATAATACAGAGAATACAAAAATAATCCATATCCATGAACTTCTTAAATTCTAAAAGTTTGTCTGTTCCAATGATGTAAGGAAGATAACAGCTAAAGTGAGTTCAAGATTTGGATACTGCATGAAAGATTTCAAAGCCTGTGGCAATTTCAGCAAGTCTTGTGAGTTGAACTTGTTTCCTGTTAGTTCCGTACTTTGAAAACAATACTTTTATTTAAAAATTTTTATAATTTTCAAAGTCATCCAGCAAATATATGTTTTTATTGTAGAATTCATGTATTATTTATGTTTTCTTTCAAGTTTGCACAATATGGAAAAGGTGGAAGTAATGCTGCCCTTTTAAACACCACAAAAGGAGAATACTTCCCTTTTGTTGTATAACTGTCTGACAATATTTCCTATGATTTAATTCAAATCCTCTCCTAAGAAAGTTGGGTTACACAATACAAGTGGAAGACTCTTTAAAGAAAGACAAAATAAAATAACACAAAACTACAAATAAAAGTTGCTACCATCCATTGAGGGGCCTCAGAGTCCCTGACCAGCGCATGGCCCCGAAGCCTGCACTTTCTCACCAATAGTAAACCCACCTCTCAAAGGAGTGTGACTAATGTCCTGCCCATGCCAGGAAGAAGACTGAGAACGCAAATGTTTTGCAACACAATTATTTCCTAGAAACTCTACGGGGAAGAGAGACTCTGCAACTTAAGTTCCTTTTATAAAATAGCAAAATCTTTTGCAGTTACATCAAAATCTTTTGATTTGTGAAATAATTCAGGAAGAAGGCGCAGGGAAAGAATATACATGTACACCTTTTCCGCTTTCCTGTTCTTATTTTCCTTCACAGTTTCAGTTTTAGCTGTGTAGTGACAGTGGCAAAGTGTCCGCTGCAGGACGATGACCTCTGTCACTGATAACAGCTTCCTGTGCTTCCCTGGGTCCGTAGGAGATGGACGGGTTTTATTCACTGCCATCTGGATGGCCATGTGATCTGGCGAGCTGACGCCATGCCTGGAAACTAACCAGAGTCAAGCTGCTGGGCTCCAGCTGCTTTGTAGAATGGTTTTGTGACTTGTGTCCATGTGTTCCACTGTGCGCCCTCCGTTAGCCAGCCTGCTTCTAATCTCCTTAGCTGGATTATGGGGTCCAATGATGTCTGAATTTATGGAGCGGACATGGTTCTCAATGACTGGCCTCTTGATTCTCATACCATAATGAGACAATGGTGACATTTCAATTTTGCATTATCTTTCTGTCTCATTTCTGTACTATATGGGAGATACTTACTGTGTGTCTTAGGAATTGAGAAGAAAACCACAGTAGAAATATATTAACACAAAATGTACCCATCCCCATCTTTAAATTCTGAGTTCTGTGGTGGCTTCTGCCCCTTCTCAGGCATGTTCATCTCAACAGATATAGATGTCCATTGCACCCAAATGCTTTTTTGAAATTCCATATTTAGCTCTTTCCTTTCTGATTTTGGTCTATACTGCATTTCCTCCTCACTATTTATTACATAGTACCTATAAACCAGATAGAACTTCCACCTGAATTCTATGGGCCTCTGAAAAGTCACTGCCTAGATCAGTCTCCATGTGCACAACAGTATGCTGCCAGAAAGATAGTCATCTTCCTTTCACCGTCTTTCACCTCTGGGGTGATTACACGAGTCAGCACCCTCCTTTTACCTCATCTCCAGCACGCAGTGCCACTTGACTCTTTCCTTTGTTCAAGCCTTATATGCTATCAAATATCAGTTCTTCAAACTGATCACCATATTTGCAATTTTTTCTGATGTCCCTTCTATGATCCTGTTGAAGGTTGTTGTCTCACGTCTTAATAACAGTGGGCTTTCACAGATTTTGCTGTTTTCTCATAGTCAGCCACTGCTTACCAGCAATGCTTCCTCTTCAGCTGGCCTTTATCCAAATGGAGGTCATATCACTGCTCACTCACAGAGTCCCTCAGATGCCAACACTTACTAAAAACTACGTTGTCTTAAATTATATAGTATTTAATGTGCCTGTGATTTTATTACAAGATATTTATGCTATTCCTTATACTTCTTCTATATCCAAATCATAGTCTCTCTCCTACTGTATAGAGATATTTATTCCATAGACTACTTAGTGTCTTAAAACTTCATTAAAATAATTTTAAAAATATACTTCCAAAGAAATGTGTCAATATTAATAATAATTAGAATTAAATACATGTAATTATGTGACTGTATGTGTTAAGTATTCCTCTTGCCAAAGTAAAAGATAAAGGAAAGACACGATGTAGCCTTTATCACCCTACAAGCATCATTATCAATTTTGTTCCTTTATAAACATCGGTCTACTGTAGCATCATTCCCAAATGTTCTGTCTCCATATCAAGTGCTTGAAACCGTTACCTCTGTACTTGTGTGCATAATTACTTTTTAAACCTAGATGTTGTCAAATGTGTCTGTGAGAGATTGTGGAGGCTCTGATATTCATCCCTGCTTTGGAATGTCATTGTCGAAGAAATCAACGTTTCCTTCTAATTTCCTTACAAGCACAGTTTTAATGAGAATTTATGACTCTAAATTACCATTCAGTCCATAAAAACTCCTTTATTTCAAAAGAGAAGTTCAGAGGCTGTCTTGTCAGATGTAGAATGAATGTTAAAGAAACCATGGCCTCCAGCTCAAGTATGAAGGAAATTTCCAAACATGGTTTCTTCCTTTGAACTCCTCTAATAAGAGATTGAAGTAAAACTAAATTCCTGCCTCAAGCTACAGTTCCACATCTCTACCACATTCCACAGAAGTTTCAGTCAAAACAGAAAGATCATAGGTGATTTATCTTTTTAACAGAAAAATGTATAATTTACACATTTATATAAATCAATGATTACCTGCTATATTTTCCTATCTTCCATATTTGCTACCTTTCCCATCAGAACTTTCCCAAAGAAGAGCGGTAATATCGGACTGGTAATCAAGAGGAAAGCGAAACACTAGCTCATCGCTCTTCCACATCCCAGCACACCCCGCTCGTAAACCGTATGTGGGTCAGATGCAGCGCACGAAACTGCGGGTCCAATCTTAACACAGGCTGATGAGCCTCCGCAAGGTCCTGTACCCAGAAACAGGTGTTCCTTTCTCTGTGCATTGCTTCCGTTGCTCAATATTGTACAGGGTCTTCTCCATAAATGTTTTACCTTTGTTTTCCCAGCGTGTTATCTAAAATTTTTGTATGTGACAACAGCAAAACATTTATACCCCTCCCTTAGGTTTTCATCAAACTACCCCTCAAGGTTTGAGAATTAACCAGTTTTGTTAGCCTCTGGATATCCTTTTTGGTATATGTAAAAGCTCAGTGACTGAGATTTGGAGTCAAGAACCTCATTTTTCTTTTCTTTGCCAATTCCTCCGCAAATTTGTCTTAGTCTCTCTAACGTCTGGATCAACTATCAAGCGATTACTTGCAATCATATAATGCAATCATAGAATGCTTTCTTTGTTATAACCCAGCAGATGGTGCTATTCTGCAATAAACAGCTTTTGCCTTGCTCAATAAAGTGCTATGGTCTTAAGGAGGAAAAAAGCAATTGAATTTTTAGTTATTTCATTGCTTACCTTGTGCTGCCACTTTTATAGCACCTTGTTTGGTTTCAGGAGCTTTCTCTGGCTCTTAAGGGAAAAAAAGACAAGTAAATTATCACAAAGTAATATTTAAAAAAGTATAACCATATAAAAGGGGGAGGAAGTGCAAAAATGATGCCACAGTAATAGTGATTAAAGCATCTAGAATTTTTGATAAGAAATAAAATTATCAAGGGAATTGCAGAGCGTGAGGCTTGCTGAGACCAAAAAAAAAAAATGTTGAAATAAGTTAAAGCACAAGATGAAGATTCCAAAAACTGATTTATCCCATTGCAGTATGATGGTGAAATATTATCTTACATCCATTTGCCACCAGAATTTGAACATTTAAAAATTCTTAATAAATTATTTTTGTGTTATCACTCCTTTGAATTGGTGGGACACGTAGGCACTAATAAAGTGGTACAATGACAGTCACGGAGGAGCACTAATATAAGAATTAGCGCAGGACCGCCGATTTCCGCCTGGAGGCAGGGGCTCCACATCCACTTGCCGCAGCGCAGCGGCGCCTCGCTATTACTGCGCCCCCCGCCCCACTCCGCGATGGCGGCTGTTAGAATAAGCAAGAGCTGCGTTCTGCATCTTTGTTCCCTCTTGTGTTGGGTGTTTGGCTGCTGGCATTTTCCTCTCCTTTGTTTAGAATTTTCTCATTAAGGAAACGGACTATAAAAAACACATGACAAATGTAAACATATTTAATCATTTAGAATAAAAGTAAAAAGAAAATAAAGACTTCAACATGATTCACTTCACATTTCGCTTAACTATGTTTCTTGATTCATTTTACTTAATCTTTCAATAATAATTTTTTAACATGATACGAAGAAGATTTGGTAATTTTTTTAGAGATTCACCTTTTTCATTCACATCATATTTATTTAGGACCTATCGTGTGTTGTTACTAAGATATCTGTAAGTGTAGTATATGATATATACACATATATATGTGTATCTAATCACTGACTTGATATCACCTTATTTAAAATTGAAATACAAGTTAAAGTTTTAAGATAAAAGATTTCATGACAATAATTTGACAAAGAATTATATGGTAACTTTCCATGATTTTTGGCCCGAAGAAAGGGGTTTAATTTGCAATTTACTTTTCTTATTGTTGGAGAGGTAATTATACACTTATATCATGACTGTGACTATGAAAATGCTAATTTGTCATTGTGTTTTTACATAAAAGAAATATTGTTTGCTCTACAGGCATGATTTTACTTATAAGTAGAGTTATTTCTTCAGAAAAAAAATCTTTTGGTACAATTTAATTCAGACCACCTATGCTTTCTTTATAATTAATTTTCATATTTTTCTGGAATAAAATTCCACATCACCTACAATACTAGGGTAATCCCTGTTCAGCCTACAATAGATATGGCCCCAATGAAGAACTTGTCAGGATTTACATGTAAATATTGAATTCTTAATATGTCTCTTTGTCTTGCTCTAACTCTTCATCTGTATGACTAGCATTTGGAGGGAACTAATTGAATATTTACTGACCAAAATAAGATGGGAAAATGAAAAGAATATGCCTAAACAATCAACAAAAGCTCCCTGAGCTGTTCTGATGTTTTTCTCCTTGGAGTTTTCACAGTATCAGAATCTTTTTTGTTGTTGTTGTTGTTTTCTGGTACCAGGAATCAAACTCACGACCACCCACTTGCCAGGCAGGCACTGTGCCGCTGAGCTAAACCCCCAGCCCTAAGTATCAGAATCTTGTAGAGCAGATAGTGCTTGAGTTTAAGGGGAGAGAAAGGTTTTAAGATATCAATGGTAAGTTACCTTAAACATTTTGAAGCTGATCTTTCCACTGTTTTCTCCATTTTCTTTATATTCTCCTAAATCTTTCATGCTAAAACTGTGCTTGTGGGATTGGACTGGACCTTCCAGCATATGCAGTTATGAATTAAGTTATTCTTAGGACTCTGTTACTCCTCCCAGGGGCCAGCAGGCTGATCTGTCAGAAAGTTTTCTTTCACCATGTTCAGAAACTGATCCTGACACTCAACAGTTCCCAGTTGTGTGATCTGAAGACTGCTCATCCTGCACCCAAGCTACATCTTAAATAACCTCAACCTGTCCACGCTTTGGCTGCACATAGAATGGGTTTATGACAGCCGCATTCCTTCTAGATCTTCATGGTGCTGTGCTTCAGTTCCCTCCCTGAGCCTTCCCTGCCTCCGTCCCCCTCTCCCCAAAACCCTGCCAGTTCACTGATGCTCATTATTGTAATGCATTGAGGACCCTGTCCCCAGACATAAGTGTGTTTTAAAGAGGGCATTTTGCAAAGTTCTGTGGAGAACTTTAATGGATGTAAATCTCAGGATCCAGCAGTGGCATGCTTGTCTCTCACAGTTCCGTCTGTACCTTCTTTAGTCTTGAGCTTCCATGTTCATTCATATTAATTCACAAACTGTTCGGTAGAAACTAACATTTTAAAACCAAATGATGCCTTTTCAACAACTTTGCCAAATGCCTCCACCCAAGAATAATGTCACCGATAAAGTTACTGAAATCATATGCAGAGATGATGAAATTTGATATCTACTTTTGCACAGTATTTTAACTTTCAAAACCACATGAGTAGGGACCGGGGATATAGCTCAGCAGCTCAGCACCTACCTGGCAAGTGCAAGGCCTGGAGTTCAATTTTCTGTGCCCTAACCAACCAATCAACCAACCAACCAACTAAACAAACAAACAGACAAACCACATGGGTTAAGGAAGCAATCAGTGCTGAGAATATAATACAGATCATAAGAAAGCTACACCAAAAGTTATAAGAGTGAAATCCCTTCAAATCCAGACTGACAAATTTTCATTAAAATACATTTAGTGTCTTATTTTGATTTATGCCAAATACAAAATAAAATTTTACTACAACCCCAAATATATACAAGAATTTTAAAAGCGTCATATTGAGCCCATGTTTCCAGTATTCATTTCCAAATGTCAAGTAATGGCCATTTTTATTTTCTTTGTACTACCTGAATTCTATATACTCCAATGAATATTTTCAAATGATTTTGTTCTCTTGTATTAGCTTTTATTTAATAATTTCTGAAATAAAATACAGTGATTTAAATGATCATAAGACTATACAACTAAAGAGTATAATAGTTTTGAAGTTAATAAATATATATATATCAGCTCTTTCATGGCTGGGCCAAAATACCTAGCACCCGCAATTTAAAGAAGGAGAGGTTCATTTTGGCGCACAGTTCCAGAGGGTTCAGGCCATGGTGAGCTGGTTCCAAGGCAGAAACGGCATGAGATGGGTGCGCATTGCAGAGGAAAGTTGCTCAAGTGGCCGGGAAACATGGAGAGAGGAGGGAGGAGCAAAGTACACCCATCTAGGTTATTCCCTCAAAAATCTGCCTCTTACAATTGGGCCCTACCTACAAATACCACAAGCTAGGAACTCAGCAATGGTGCAACCTACAGATGATTCTAGCACCCCATGATCTGACCACCCTCTGAAAGCCCCACTTTGGAAATGATACCTTTGAGGGACATTTTACATACAAACCTTAACTATAATATTTTATACTATGAAATTGGGCAGTATGGTCCTAGACTAAAATGTCAGTATGATTTACTTGAAAGTGTTTTAGCAGGAAATTATTAGATGAATTACTCTTTGTAGGGCTCTGAAACATGTTGTCCCTCTATTAACAAATTGGCTTGAATTAGAGAAGCCATATGTTTCAATCTCCTGATTACACTGGCATGGCAGAGTTTGATTTACAAGACTGAAAAAAAACATTGTGAGACTGCAGATTTTTTTTAAGGAATTAGTTTTTGTATACAGGTTTAGATATAAACTTAATATGATATAAAATTTTCATCTGTCTATAGAATACCATTTATATTGACTTGAATTATTAGAAAATCCAAATTCCCTGACTTTTCAAGTAACTTTAGCAATAAACGGATTGCTACATTATGAGCCTCTGGCACGGTCTTTTGACTGAGTCAACCAACAGTATTTCTGAGAATCATATTTACATCTTCAATAATTTTAAGCTTCCCCGGCTTCTGAAAAAAAAAATCACTGTATTTATGATGGTTTTGTTAATAAATTAAATTGGGTGAAATCAATTACTATTTTAAAAGTGACAACGAACAATCCTGGAACTCAGCAAACAGTACAATCAACAAGAAAGATTCAGTTAGAAGGAGGAGCAGTCGGACCAGGGCAGTGGAATGAATAGCGGCAGGTGGAGAAGCCGGAGATGGGTGATGACGCCACTGTCTTTAAGCTGATCGTTTCTCAGTAACTAGCCGGGGGGCTGAACAGGGAAGATTTCCATTTCAAAGTGTATCAAATAAATGCTTCTTCTACAAATATCCCCTCTTACTAGCTGAAAACCCCCTAACAACCATTGCTTGATGCTTATGCAACCCCATCACTCTAGCCCATAGCAAACTGCCAAAAAATTGTCTGTAATAAACACTGCATAGAAAATCTAATTACAATGTGAAAAACCATCTAAACTGACCAGTTGGATGTAAAACATTACATTTAGGAATGTATTTAATTTTTGAGATGACATAAAACTAATTAAACTTTTTTGCTCTTTGATCACTGCTTATGTCTTGTGCAGAAAGCCTTTTAATTTTAACTCAAAACTTGACTTTCAATAGAATATTCTTACTCAATTTGAGAATGTTGCATTTTGGTATTTTACTATTTATACCATGGTATGAAATAGCATTTTTCTACACTGAAATTAAGAATCAAACTTATTTTATTGCTTTTTATAAAGAAACCCTTTTAAAAAGCTGTCTCTTGCTAGATCTGCCATATAGAAGACACTTTGATTTTTGTTAAGTGATAAAACTAAATATAGAAAAGTCGAAAAACTTTTATTCAAACTAGCAGGGAAATTCATCTTGAGCAGTTTGGCAGCTAAGATTTGAGTCAGCGATAGAAAATCTTCTTGATCCCTCAAAATGTATATGTTCTCTTTTAAAATTACATGCTAGAAACTAACAAAATTATTCTGATATCCAAG